CTCCCCAGGGCCAGGCTGGTGACAGGAGTGCTGAGTACACTCACCCTCCACTGGCCCAGTACTGTTTGTCCTCACTCCTGGAGCCTAAGAAGATGGAGCTGGGTGGGGGGTTGGTGGGCTGCAGCTATAAGGAGGTGAGGCTGGGCTGGGCCCTAGGAGCCATCGCCTGGCCTCAGGGTAGGCAGGCGGCCACCTGGTAGGCGCCCTCGGCAGCTGCAGCGGCAGCACTGTGCTGTGCGCTGTGCTCCTGCAGCAGGGCCACGTCCAGGAAGCGCTCGCCACACCACACGCACTTGAACTGCTGCTCTCGGGCGTGGACACCCTGGTGCTTGTTAAGATGCTCGCGCTGCTTGAAGGCCTTGTCGCAGTTGGGGCACTTGTAGGGCTTCTCGCCTGTGTGCACCCGCCGGTGCCGCTGCAGGTCTGACGCGTATTTGAAGCGCTTCTCACAGTCTGGGCATTTCAGCGGCTTCTCTCGGGCTGGGTCGCAGCGGTGCTGCACAAATTCGGAGGAGGAGAAGAATCGGCGCTCACACAGGGTGCAGCGCAGGGGCTTCTCGGCCGCGGTGCAGTGCGCCAGCTGGTGCTTCTGCAGGGCCGATGCCCTCTTGTAGGCTTTGTTGCACACCGGGCACTTGAAGGGCCGCTCGGCTGCGCCGGGCAGGCACTTGTGCCGTAGCAGCTCTGCCGACTGGTCGAAGCCCTTCTGGCACATGGGACACTTGAAGAGAGTCTCGAGGGTGTGCACGTGCTGGTGGTAGAGCAGATGGCTGGGCTGCCCGAAGCCCTTCTCGCACAGCCCGCACTTGAAGGGCTCCTCCGTCTTGTGTGTACGCCGGTGCCGCATCAGCGCATACTGCTGCTTGAAGCCCATGGGGCACAGGTCGCACTTGAAGGGGCGCTCGGCACTGTGTGTGCGCTCGTGCTGCCTCAAGTCTGAGGGCCGCTTGAAGGCCTTCTGGCACTCGCCGCAGCGGAAGGGCCGCTCGCCACTTGGAGTGCAGGGGTGCTGCAGCAGCTCCGAGGACTCCTTGAAGTGCAGCTCGCACACATTACAGCGGAACAGGTGGTGCTCGCCGGAGTGCGCGTACATGTGGCGCACCAGGTGAGAGCGGTGCTTGAAGGTCTTCTCGCAGACCGCGCACTTGTAGGGCCGCTCGGAGCTGTGCGTGCGCTTGTGGTGCACCAGGTGGGACGACTGGCTGAAACTCTTGTCACACAGCGTGCACTTGTACGGCTTCTCACCTGTGTGGATCCGCTCATGCCTGGAGAGCTCCGACAGGTGCTTGAAGGGCTTCTGGCAGATGGGACAGCTGTAGGGTTTATCAACCTGTTCCGCAGGGGCGACAGTAGGAGGCGGGGCAGCTGGCGGAAGTGATGGGGCAGCAGCAGTGGCAGGCTCTGTGGCCTCGGCTGGCTTATAGGTCTTCTCACAGATAGAACACTTCACGAGGCCACTGTGCGCGCTGTGGTGCTGCGCCAGCGAGGTGAGCAGGGAAAAGCCCATCTTGCACACTCCGCAGACGAAAGGCTTCTGCTCGGCCTGCACGCACTGGTGCTCCAGCAGGTCAGTGGCCTGGTGGAAGATCTTGAGACACTGCGTGCACTGGAATGAGCGGTCGTGGCCCGCCAGGCACTGGTGTTCATGAGGGCTAGTCAGGTGTGCCAGGTCGTGACCACACACACCGCATTTGGGTCCTGGCTCCCCGGCTGCCTGCAGGGGTGCATGTTGTGGAGGCTGCAGGCCCGTGTCTGGCTGCAGGAGGATGCCATAGACCGCACAGCCCAGGGGGTTCTCAGCAGTACCAGGGGGCAGCGCATGCTCTGCCAGGGCCGGTGGGGGCTCGGCATGGTGCTGAGGTTGGGGTGGCTGGGGCTGCTGCGGCTGTGTCTGAGGCGGCTGCTGCCAGCTTTCCGACATGCTTGGGAAGATGAAACAGGGTTTGGAGATTAATGGCTTCAGTTTCCCGCTTAAGGTGACCCAACTCAGAGAGAGAAGTTGCCCAATCTCAAGGATGGACAAGGACCTCAGACAAGGCACGGAGGAGGACTGGTCAGACGGCCCTAGTCATCAAGTGAGGAGACAGAATACAAGGCTGCATCTACAGGGCAGGGGGTGCTTCAAGACAGGGTCCCAACACTGCCAGGGAAACTCTGCCTTCCACAGTGAGCAGTTCTGTGGGGAAGAGAAAAACCGTGAGCTTGAGCAGAAACAAGCAGCCCTTCCCCATCCTCTCCCTGTTCCGCCTGCACTTGCCCCTGGACATAAACCACATCTGGGAAGAGAGACACTCAGGACTGGGAGATGTTCCTTTCACTTGCCACCAAAGTAGACACTCAGGACTGGGAGATGTTCCCTTCATTTGCCACCAAAGTAGTCTGCGGGAGGTTCAGCTCCTCTAGGCAAAGGGTTTGGCAGCTGCCTCTACTCTACCCATGCCTGAACCAGGGCATCCTAGCCTACATGAGTTTCCTCAGCTTCCTGCCAATTCTCTTCAGTCAGGTGTCTCCAGGTGAGAACCTGGGGTGATCTGTTCACAAAACAGAGGCCTCCCTAAGGCCTACAAGCCTGTTCCCATTGCTACCCTGAGTCTTGACCCAGGACCCCACTGCTCAAAGGAGCAGTCTATTGACCTAAAAAGGCCACACCTCCCAGGTTTGAGAGCCCAATGGCAAAAGGCCTCTGGCAGACAACATTAGAAAAACTACATAGAACCAAGGACCACCTCAAAAACCCTCTCCTGTGTGGCACTGGCTCACACCCTCCCTCACCTATCCCCAAGCCCTCCACTCTGGCTACATACCTATCCTCTTGCCACATAATAGGATGGATGGCCTGGCAGAGACCTAAACCCACAGATGATAGGAGCTAGGTTCCCAGAGCCACCCAGTCTCATTGTCCACAGAGCAGAATGTCTTTACTTTAGCCATCTTTCAGAAAACCAAAACCAAAAAAAAAAAAAAAGTTCTAAATCCTCTGAATCTCTCTGGCTGGCTATCAATGCCTGCAGAAAAATGTGAGAAACTGCACTGGTCTGTCTCAGCCATGTAACAACAGAGCATCTCTCTCCATCTCCCTTCTGGAGACAACCTGTTACCTTGCTCCAGGGCTATAATATTCTGGGTAATCAATGCAAGGTAAAGCCCACCCGGCCTAGGCAAATCTCTAACTCACCACTTTGTGGCAGCATATGATAATGCCAGAGAGCGGGAGGAATTTTTAGAGTCACAGGCAACCCACTTTCAGGTTTCCAGCTCATCGGCCTCTGAAGTTGAAAAGTTTGTAAGTTTTCTCCTGAGAGGAGGAAGGGTAAAGTATGTCTTCATAGGCCAGCCTGACTTCTAACTGTTCTGTCGACAAAATATAAGAGTGAAGCTAAAAGCTGTCATCCTCAGCATCTTCTGGGAAGGGAGAAAGGAAAGGGGCTGCTGCTCTTGGTGGAGGCAGCAGGTTGCATGAACAAGCAGGTACCACTTGGTAATCTAAGCAGGCAGAGGAGAAAGGTGGCTGCTCTGAGCACATTCGAGGTCTGGCTGCATCAATCCAACTGTGTTGTGGTTGTTTCTTTTTCTGGCATAAATGGCTGCCAGAGCCAGAGGCCCCTGGGGCGCAATCCCACTGCCCACCCTGATCCTCCTCCCGGAAGGTGCAGCCAGGAAACCTATCTAATCACTCCACAAAAGGAAGGAGAGATGAGGGGAATGGAGGGGAGGCAAAGGGAGGCCCCCACCTGCGCCCCACCCCAGTTCTTCCTCCTCCCTTGGAAAAGGAATGAAAGCCGATCACCTCCCACCAGCCCTACCCGCCGGCCCAGCTGGGCTGCCTCCTGTCAGCCCTCGCCTGGAGGGCCGAGCCCCTGCCGCCCGAGAGCGGGTGCCTGGGCCCCAGGAAGGCCCCAGGGACGCAGGCCCGGCCCGGGAAGCGGCTGTGCTTGGAGGCCCGGCCTGGGCCGCCCAGGAACTCAGGAGGCCGCCGGGTCGGGTCGGAGGGGCGGGGGGGGCGGCCGGGCCGACTGGGGAACGGGTGCGGCGGGAGCGGGAGTGGCCCCCAGACGCAGCCCCGGGCGCCCCGCCGCTCACCTGCTCCAGGCCGCCCGCGGAGCCAGGCGCGGGGCAAGCGGCGACCAGCTGCTCTCTCTGCCGCCCCTTTATTCCAGCTCCATCAGCGGCGGCGCGGCCTACGCGCGCTGCCAATCCCCGGCCTAGCGTAGAGGTGGCGGCCGGCCCGGGGGCGGGGAGCCGGCTTGCGGCGACCGGAACGGAGGAAGCGACGCGCGCGTCCAGGCTAGCGGGACCGGGGCGGAGGATCGCCGGGAGGGCGGGCGGGCGGACGGACCGATGGCCTTGCTGAGACAGGCGGACGAGCGGGCGGCGCGGGGGCAGGGAGGCGGGGCTGGGGGAGGAGCGGTAGCCGGGGCGGCGGCGGCGGCTGCTGCGGGAGGAGCGGGCGGCACGGAGCGAGGCCGCCCCCTGCCGGGGACCCCGCGGCCTGGCCGGGTCGGACACGCCTGGTGCGCCAGACTGTGCCTACCGAGGCCCGGCCGGCGCGCTTCGGCTGACCAAGGGAGGGCGCTCAGTTCGCGCCCACCCAACCCGGCCTCAGGGGAGACGACTGCCGGTTCCGCCCCCCGCCCGACTCCTGCACCTGACAGCGAGAGCCCGCCTGGACCCTCTCATCTTCGGCAAACGACGCGCGTCTAAACCGCTCGGCTTAGCTCTGAGAGCAGCGGCCCCGGGGCTCGGACTTTGAACCGGTTTGAGGAGGGGGCCCCGGGACCTGTGAAACGGGCACACCAAGGATGGAGCGGGGAGGCTCCGAGAGGCCCGGTAGCCCTCCACGCGCAGCCAGCGGGCAAACAGCATGCGGACAGCGTGCAGATCGCGGACACGGCCCTCGCTAGTGTCCCGCGGGTCCCGCCCCTTCTGGCCCCGCCCGGCCCCGCCCCGAGGCGGTGATACCCTCGCCCCGCCCCCCCGGGAGCACTTCCGGCTCAGCGGAACGCGGGGTGCTGGCTGAGGTTGCCCACGGACCTGCCCCGTGAAGGTGTCGCACAAGGCCCCATGAGCGCTGGACCCCTGGTGGGCTACAGCAGCAGCGGCTCCGAAGATGAGGACGAGGCTGAGGCTGAGATCGAGGCCGCGACCCAGGGGCGGACCTGGCCCGGGGCTGGGGGCTGTCGTCGGTGAGGATCGAGGAAGTCTCTTTCGCCGGGGCGCGGATTTGTTAAGAGAACCCCGCCAGACCCGAGCGTCTGTCGACTGGGGAGGGGAGGCGGTTCCCGGGGAAGGAAAAGCGGGAAAGGAGGATCCAAAGGGCACCCCTGGACAAAGCCCCAGAGTGCCCCCACCAGGCTCGGGCAAGGTTGGGAGGCAGGACGCCAGCTCGGGCAAGTTCTGTGTTCTGTAAGGTAGCACACCGTCCCGGGTCTGTTTCTTCATCTGAACACAATTGCAGTGATAATACTTGCTTAAGCTTATGGAGACCCGGGTGCGGTGGCACATGTCAGAGACCCGGGGAGGCTGAGACAAAAAGATCACAATTTCAAGGCTGGCCTCCTGCAACATACTCTGTCTAAAAATAAAATTAAGAGGGGATGGCTGGGAAGGCAGCTTTATGGTAAAGTGCCCTAGGATCTCCAGAACCACATACACTGCCTTCCCCCAAACACAGCATATGGAGAGCCTTTTAATTCATTCAACAAATACTCTTTGAGCACCTAGTCTGAGCCAAACTGAAGATTGGGAACTTAAGTGGACAAAAGCCATGAAAGTCTTTTTTTTTTTTTTTTTTTGTGGGCTCTAGGTTCTTAAGTAACTGTCTTTGCTGAGTGCTTTACAAGTGCTTTACTGTTGATGGCCTAGTAGTTTTGTCAGGTAGAAATACAGTTAACACATGAGGAAACATGTATCTCAGAAAGGGTACATCACCTGCCCAAGATCACAGAGTTAGAAAATGCTGCTCCATTTCAGGCCTGTCCAACCAAGGATGTAATACCTAAACCACACCTTGCTGCCTGCCAGAGTGTTTCTCATGGGGACCATGCTTTATTCTAAGGTCTGCTTCCCAGACTTGTTGAGAGACTCCAGCGCAAATATGTGGGAGAAAGCTTTGTGACTTTCTAGAAGTTACCTCATGTACTTGCCTGGAAAACCACACTCAGGATCATATTTATAAGGGGTTACAGCTTTTGTTGGGTGTATAAAAGCAGAGAATGCTAAAAAGATAAATGTGCTTGTTTCCTTTTTTCTTCTGCAGTGGCCAGAGTCCTGATCCTAGTCAGAGGTTTCCAGTGCCCGACAGTGTACTGAACATGTTCCCCAACACAGAGGAGAGGCCTGAGGATGACAGTGCAAAACATGGGGGACGTGTGCGCACCTTTCCTCATGAGCGAGGCAACTGGGCCACCCATGTCTACCTACCATGTGAGTCATGTGTGACAGGCAAACAGTTGAGACCAATAGGTGCCTCTTGATGTATTTAGCCACAACTAAGAGGAAGAAACCAGAACCCTGTCTGTGCCTCCCCAGCCCTGATAAGTGGATAGCAGGCAAAAAAATGCCCAGAGTCAGACTTCGTCCATTATCTACTGCTCTGGGTATCCTTTGGACTTCTCAGATCTCAGTTTTCTCACCTCCAAAAAGGAGATAATAGTAATACCTATCTTTGGAAGATGAACTAGATAATTTCTGTCAGGTTCCTCGTACAATTCACAAAGTAGGTGGTGGCTCTTATTATTTGGTGTAGCCTTCTCCCATTACCACCAGCATCCCCCACCAAGAATTGTGCACTTGTCACAGTTGATGAGCCTACATTGGTACATCACCATCACCCGGACTCCAAAGTTGGTATTAGGGTTCACTCTTGGTGTTGTACCTTCTGTGGGGAGACTTGTGCTACCATTATAGAATCATAGTTCACTGCCCTAAGAATCCTCTCCTCCTCTTATCCATCCCTCCCCTGCTTCCTCACCTCTGTGAACCAGTGATCTTTCAACCATCTCCATAGTTTACCCTTTCCAGAATGCCATGGAGTCAGAATCATTCAGTAGGTAGCCTTTTCAGATTGTCTTCTTTCACCTAGTAATACATATTAAGGGCTCCTCCATGTATGTCATGGCTTGACAGTTCACTTTTTTTTTTTTAATAGTACTAAATAACATTCCATTGTCTGGATGTACCATAATTTATTTATCCATTCACCTACTGAAGATGGATACTTGTGATTGCATCCAAGTTTCGGCTGTTATGAATAAAATATAGTCATCTGTGTATAGTCTTTCATGTAGATGTAAGTTTTCAACCTCTTTGGGTAAACACCAAGGAGGGCAGTTGCTGGATTGTGTGGTAACGGTTATGTTTAGTTGTGTAAGAAATCACCAAACTGTCCTAGGCAGTGGTTGTGCCATTTTACATTCCCAACAGTAATGAATCAGAATTCCTGATACTCCATGTCCTTGTCAGCATTTGGTATTGTCAGTATTTGGGAGTTTAGCCATTTTAACAGGTATATTGTTGCATTTCCTTGGTGACATATGATGTGGGACATCTTTTCAGGTGCTTTTTGCTATCTGTATAGCTTCTTTGGTGAGGTGTGAATCAGATTTCTGTCCTACTTTATAATCAAATTGTTTATATTCTTACGTTTCATTTTAAGAGTTTCTTCTATATTTTTCTGTATTTTTAATCAGACATATCTTTTGCAAATGTATTTTCTCCTAGTCTATAGCTTTTCATTCTCTTAATATCTTTTACAAAGCAGAAGTTCTTAAATTTAATGAAGTCTACTTTTTTTTAAATAACTTTATTTTGTTTATTATATTTCCTATGGTGCTGAGAATTGAACCAAGTGCCTCAAACATGCAAGACAAGCACTGTACCATTGAGCCTCAACCCTAGCCCATAATGAAGTCTATCTTATCAATTCTAATAACTAATAAACAATATAGCAATATAAACTTTGGGAGACCCATATTCAAACTATACCTACCAGTTTTATCAACTTCCTGTTTTCAATTTCATCAATTTCTGCTGATTTGTATCATTTCTTTTCTTCGGCTTACTTGGAATAGAATTCGCTCTTTTCTGGATTTTTTTTTATTTTTTATTTTTAGGTGGACACAATTTTTTTTTTAAATTTTTATGTGGTGCTGAGAATCGAACCCAGTGCCTCACGCTGAGCCCCAGCCCCAGCCCCTTTTTCTAGATTCTTAAAGAGGAAGTTTAGAGGATCGATTTTAGATCTTCTAATATGTGCTTTTAGTGATATAAGTATTCTTCCAAGCACCTCTTTTGCTGCATCCTACAAGTTCTGATAAGTTGTGTTTTCATTTTCATTTACTTAAAAATACTTGTAGGTGGTACCTGCCTATAATCCCAGCAACTGGTGGTAGACCTAGGCAAGAGGATTGCAAGTTCGAGGCCAGCCTCAGCAACTTAGGGAGACTCTGTCTCAAAAAAACAAAATCTGCAAATTTCTCCTGAGATTTCTTCTTTGACACAGGTGTTATTTAAAAGTGTGTTGTTTAATCTCTAAGTATCTGGGAATTTTCCAGTTCTCTTTCTGTTATCAGTTTCTAGTTTAATTCCATTGTGGCCCAAAGTCAGACAATGTATGATTTCTAATCTTTTAAATTTAAGGGGTTCTGATACCTACTCTCTCTTTAAACTGTATTTTTTGCCTTTTATTATGTTTTATCATTTTTTCTTCATAGCTGAATATGATGTGTTGCATAGCAGGGACATGGTAAACAGGCCTTCAGTAACATGGTGAGGTGTGAAGGGGAAGCATTCTACAGCCCTGTGGTCAGGTCCCAGTCATTTAAATGAGCCTGTGCCTCTGGACTGTGGACAGCAAGGCGAGAGCCAGTTTGAAGTTATTTCCCTTCCCCCAGGTCAGTAGGGCTCCTATTAAAACACCTGCAAGTCAGGCTCTGGTTAAACCTAAGGGCAGACCTTTTAAGAAAAACAGAATTTCTAAATGGTTTCTTTCTATCCCCTTGTGCCAGAAGGGCCAGAAGCACAAGATGATTTTTCTCCAAAATTCTGTGAGAACCTGGTAGAGTTCCAGATCCTAACCCTCAGAAAGCAGTGTGCATATGTGTATGTCCCACAACCCACATCCTCTTAGAGTTTTTAACTTTCAGATTTGTATACCCTGAGTCTCCAGCAATTTGTCTATTACAATGTAGGCCTCCCTGCGCTAGCCCTTGTTCTCACACAGGTTTCAGCTCATGTACGTCTGGTCCAATAATTTGTGAGCCTCTGTATTCAGCTGTGTGTCACTCACTTCTCTTATAGATCTAAGAAGAGCTGTTGTTTTCTTAGTTTGCTGAACATTTTACTTGTTGTTAGCATGAAGTGAAAATTTCCAAACTTTTTTTTTTTTTTTTTTTTTTGGTACTGAGGATTGAACTCAGGGACACTTAACCACTGAGGCACATCCTGAGCCCTTTTTTGTATTTTATTTAGACACAGGGTCTCGCTGAGTTTCTTAGGTCATCACTAAGTTGTAAAGGTTGGCTTTGAACTCAACGATCCTCCTGCCTCAGACTCCCTAGCCGCTGAGATTACAGGAGTACAGCACTGCACCCGGCAACTTCTATGCTTTTTAATGCTGGACTATAAACCGAAGTCTCCTCCCTGTGTGTATGTTGTTTACCTGAATTCTTTTCAGTGAGCACATATTACTTCTTTAACCAGAAATGCATGTTAAATTTTAATAAGCTTTATAGACACAGACTCAAACCCAGAGTGATATGGGCTTCTGTCTGCCTTCTGGGCTTTTTCACTTAGCCTTGAACCTTGGCTAAGACAACAGCCCACCCGCTCCACTCTTCCTTCCAGATGAAGCCAGGGATGAGTTCCTGGAGCTGCTTGATCTGTTGCTACCCCATGCCCAGACTTACGTGCCCCGGCTGGTGAGGATGGAGGCCTTCCACCTCAGCCTGTCTCAGAGCGTGGTTCTGCGTCACCACTGGATCCTCCCTTTCGTGCAGGCTCTGAAAGACCGCATGGCCTCTTTCCAGAGGTGAGCGCTTCCCTGGGCCTCTGGCTGTTCTCTCCAAGGCTTCTCCCCCTTTCCTGAGCTACTGCAGGTTGGAGGTATGGGTTTCATTATCCCAGCAAAAGGAATAGAACACAGGAACATTGAAACATCTCCTGGGGCCACCTGGGGTACATCTCATCCCGTGTGACCTTGGGCACATTATAAATTCTTTTTTTTTTTTTTTTTTTTTTTTTTTAAAGAGAGAGTGAGAGAGGAGAGAGAGAGAGAGAATTCTTTCAATATTTATTTTTTTTTTAGTTCTCGGCGGACACAACATCTTTGTTGGTATGTGGTGCTGAGGATCGAACCCCGGCCGCACGCATGCCAGGCGAGCGCGCTACCGCTGAGCCACATCTCCAGCCCTATAAATTCTTGATACTTCTAGTTTCTTACATGCCATATAGGAAAATCTTCACTCTCTTTCTCTACACTCTCACTCAACATTTCTAACACAACTGTAGCCACATGATATCCTGAAATTTTAGTTCAGTTCTGATGGTAATGACCCAAAGTTAGTGCACACATCACAGGTTAGGGGCTCAGTCCCACGAGACTGCCCCCCACTTCAGATGCTAACTTCTCATGTTGGATCCCCATGTTACCCACAACTCTTTTTCAATTTTGCTATAATTCAGAGGTTTTTGTGACTCCCTCCTCAGGCTTGATCATTAGCTAAAACAGCTCACAGAACTCAAAACAGTTCATTTAATAGATTATCAATTTGGATCCTTTAAAGGATATTTTAGGGGATCCAAATGAACAGGCAGATGAAGACACACATAGGGTGAGGTCTGAAATGGTGCCAGGCTCAGGAGCTTGTCTCCGTGAAGTTAGGGAGTGTCACCTTCCCAGCGCACCATGCATTCTTCACTAGAAGGAACTCTTCAAACCTGTGCGTTAGGGATTCTTCTGTATGAAGGCATTATTAACTCTAGCTCCTCTCCCCTCCGCAAAGGATGGGGGTATAGGGCTGAAAGTCCAGGCTTCTAATCATGGCTTGCTCTTTCCAGGTGACTGTCCCTCTTACAGGAATCCAGCAAGAGTTGCAGAAAGTTCCAAAGGATTTAGGAATGCTGTGTAAGGAACCTGTCAAACACTAAATAATAGAACGAAAGATGGTCTCAGCATCCTTACTGTTTAGGAACTTATATGGGTTTAGGAGCTCTGTGTCAAGAACTGAACCAGTGACCAATATCTGCATACAGGGCATGGGAAGATGTCTGCCTCAGAGGCGCTTATGGAGAATGAAATTCTGCCTGCCCCTCAGCATGGCACTTGGTAAAGGGCCAGAACTGAACCCTACTTCTGGTTTTGTCTACGCGCTTACGACATTTTCCCCCTTAACTGCCGGAGGCTGCCCGGGCCCGGGTCGAGCGAGCTGGCTGAGCCCCTTCCTGCCGCTCGCCGATCACTGCCTGCGGCACCCCTGCTGAGCGATCCCCTGCTGAGCTATCAGTGCACGCCGGCTTGCAATCTTACAGCCCGGTTGGGCACAAAAACACAAGCCAGTCAAACTGAGACAAAGTTTTATTTAGAGAGAGGCCATGTGCGTCCCCTAACAAGTGGGTCCACACGTGTGTGTCTACCTGAGCGGGGGGGGCTTCCACTTCCCCCGGAACACCCTCCTACCAATCTTTTCCAACCAATGGGAACTCTCCCATTACAAGAGTGACATGAGTAACCTGAGTCCTGAAATGGGCCCAGCTGAACAGCATGAGTCCAAATACCATATGAATGTGAATTGCTGGCTGGCAGTTATTAAATCCAAAGGTGCCTGTATCAATATTTTTGAAGAAATGCTTTTCCTGCTAGACTTCAGCACATCAGAACCCTGCTCTTGCCAGGCATGGTGGCACATGCCTATGATACCAATGATTTGGGAGGCTGAGCCAGGAGGATCACAAGTTCAAGGCCAGTCTTGGTAATTTAGCAGGGCCCTAAGCAGCTTAGCCAGATCTGTCTCAAGAAGTAAAACAGGGTGGGGATATAGTCAGTGGTAAAGTGCCCCTGGGTTCAATTCCCAGTACAAAAAAAATTTAAAAAAGGACCCTCCTGCTCTTTCTACCAGATGGCATGTGCCCCAGAACTCCTCAGTCCTCGGGATCGTCAGTCTTGGCACTATTTACAGTCTATAGCTCATTACTCCTCACCTCCACTCATTCCCATGTCCCTCTTCCCTTCTGGAGCCCAGGTTCCCCCCAGCAGGATAATAGCTTCTCTCTGAATAACCCACAGCCTTCTCCAGGTGCTCTGGTTAATCATGCCATTAAATAGATGCTTGCTGAGTGCTTGGACATTCAGGAGGGAACGGAGCCTGGAGGACACCTCTCTTAGAGTTCTGTGGGTCCACTGAAGGCTGGGACTGGAAAGAGCCTAAGAAGCCATGGTGGTTTTGTGACTCTGCTTTTACCTGCAGAGCTTTTTTTCAAATGAGGTGTTCCACAGACACCCACTGTGTAGATGTGTGAGACAGGTAGAAATAGAAGTCTCTGGGCTGGGGGTGTAGCCCAGTGGTACAGTGCTTGCGTAGCTTGCACAAGGCCCTGAGTGGGAACTCCAGCACTGAGAGAAAAAGAAATAGAAGTCTCCTAGCCAAGGCCCATACCCACAGCTGAAGAAGCCCTAGGCCCAGATATTCTAGTGAAGGGCTTTGCCCAACTAATGGGTTCGACCTAACTAGTTGAACCCTTTCTGAGGGCTAGAGGGGAAGATTTACTCCAGGCCAGTCAGTCATCTAGAGGATCAGGACTGAAGCTCGTCTGTTCTCCAAGCCTAGCCCACCTCCTTTCAAATTTACTGAACTTTATGTATACTTTCAGGACTGTTTTGGTCACAGATACCAGAAACTCAACCCAAAGTGGCTTAACACAAAGGGGGATAGGCTGGTATAGCTACAAAGTTCAGAGGAAGCGCTAGCTTCGTGATGAGGGAGTGGAGGTCACCAGAAGATGTTAGATGGCACCTGGCTCTTACTGTCTCAGCTCTGTGCACCGGAGGGACACTAGCATCTCCAGGCTGACCTGCCTAGGAAGATAGCCCTCTTTTTTTTTTTAATATTTTAGTTATACGTGGACACAATATCTTTATTTATTTTATTTTATGTGGTGCTAAGGATCGAACCCAGTGCCTCATGCATGCTAGGCAAGCATTCTACCTCTGAGCTACAAACCCAACCCATAGCGCTCTTCTTTACTTTTTTGTTTCTGTTTTTGTTTTTATTTTTGTCAGGAACAGAACTGAGGGCTTCAGGCATGCTAGGCAAGCCCTTTGCCACTGAGCCATCCTCCTGCCCCCAAAAGCCCATTTTTCAAATAACTTCAGCAAAAGTCACAAAAGACTTGGATTGGTTTGGCTTGGTGTTCATGCTCTCCCTTTTGTGAGTGAAGAGTTAAAAAGCCCTTTCTCCTTCTACTTAAGAAGCTTTCTCTGCTAGAACACTGTTCCCTGACCAAGGGCAGCTTGTCGATAAGTTCTAGGTCCGGGAACAGCAGAGTTGCCCAGTGTGCAAGACAAAGGAAACGAGGCCCCTGATGGGAAGTCTCAGTTCTGGGCCTCCTTGAACCCACCTGTTCTTTGATAGGCAGGTGCCCATTAAGACTCTGGAAAATTCACCCAAGAGTTATTTCTAGAGTACCCGAGGGGTACCCAAGGAGTACATAGGTGGCTTTTTCCCTTGTTTACTTGGGAAACAGCTCCAGAGAACTGCCCCTGGCTTGCTGGATTGGTTCCCTCCGAGGAAATGCATCTGATGTGCCCCGTGGCTCAGTGTTTCTTGCTCTGTGTCCTGAGTGGGGCTCAGCCAGCCATGGCCTCTTTGAGCTTGATTGTCAGGTTGAGTCCAGGATGACTGAGAACAAGCAGTGCACCCCGGATTCTGTTGCTGCCACTGAGGGCACTCTCTGCTCTGACAGGCCAGGCCTAGGTCAGCGCCTGCAGCTGAAGGGGTGGTGGCTGGACACAACATCCAGTGTCGACAGCAGAACACTTATCCAACACCTTCCAGAACTCTTTCCAAAATCTGTGCTTTCCCAAGAACTAGTGGTTCTGTTATCCCTTACATTTTCCCCAAAAGGGATGCTGAACGAGGAGGCAGGGTGCTGGCTGGCTGACTTCATGCACGTGGACAGGTTGTAAGGCTCTGTCCAGCCAGCAGATATGTCCATTCCTTCCACTGGGATGAATCCTTTGGCCTGAAGGCTGTGAAATTATCTTTTCCTGTGATGGGACTTGCCAAGATGATCAGGAGGGGCAAGAAGCCAGTCTGTCCCTTTGCAATCACCAGTATCTTTAGGACACAGCCAGCACCTAACTTACTGAACCTGACTGGTCCCCGTGTCACTCATCTGAGGGGTCAGTGGGGGCCTGTTTCTGCTTCCTTTCATACCATTGGAGACCCACTATTCCTAGAGCCTCATAGGAGAGAGCAGGGGCTTTGTCAGGCAGACTGAGGTTCAAATCCTGCCTCGAAAGCTTCAGTTTCCCTGTCTGTAAAATGGGCATATTTATAGTGCCTGCCTCAAAGGCTCATGTGAGGATCCCATGAGCTGATAAGCCCCAAACCCTAAGCTCAGCCCTTGCACATGGGAAGTGTTCTTGTTATTGCTTAGACTAAATCAGTGTTGTCCTTGTTTTAACCTGCAAGGCACAATTTAGCCCTCATATGATTTGTTATCACCCACTGATAACAAATTAAGTGATTAACACTTTCTCAGTTCCTATCAGTAAAGTTGAGATAGTCTCAAATTGTTTGGAATGAACTGCTCTTATCAAAATAAAATTTTTTTGCTAGCATCTGAATGATACTATATATACTTGGACAGGGTGATTTTAATGTCTTGCTAGCTCTAATTAGGGTTCAGTTTACCATTTATATAATGAGGTGACAATATTAAGTATAAAGTTCTATTTCTCAAGTGCTATTTATCAAACTATTTTTCTGTTTGTTTTTTCCTATTCTTCCTGAAATATGATCTTTTTTCTTCTAAATTTCAGATTCTTCTTTACTGCCAACCGTGTAAAGATTTATACCAATCAAGAGAAGACCAGGTGTGTCCCCCTGATCCCAAGTCACTACCAGAAGAAGAGTCTTTGGTGGAGTGCTTTTTGTTAAATTTTTAACCAAGTCTGCCAGATTATAGGGAAGCTGTTCCCAAATCTGAATTTCCATTAAGAAAAAGAACTGGGAGGCCAGGCATGGTGGCACATGCCTATAATGCCAGACATTCAGGAGGCTGAGGCAGGAGGATCAAAGTTCAAAGCCAGCCTGGGCAATTTAGTGAGACCCTGTCTCAAAAAGTAAAAAGAGCTGGGATGTAGCTCTGTGATAGATCGCTTGCCTGACCTATGAGGCCCCAGGTTTAATCCTCAGTGACACAAAAATGAAAGAAAAATCACTGGAGGAACATCGGGAGGGGTCCCAGAGGTAGAGCAGATGGGGCCCTTCTCGGTATAGGGAAGAAAGCTGTGAAGGTAGAAAACCTGCTCCTGCTGTCTGCATCCCTAGTTTTAACCTTTATCTCACACATTCTGCTCTCTGACCTTTGTGTGCTAAACCAGCATCCCCACAGTGACACCATCACACACCTCCCCTTGATTCATCTATTGTTGGGCAGTTGTGAGGCTCAAAAGAGGCCAGTGGATTTTAAAAGCATTAAATGAATATAAGAAGAAATTATCATTACCAAGGTTTCAGAGCGAGCCCCAGTGTCCCCTCCACTCACTGAGCCACCCTCTCTCAGCACCTCTGAAAGGGCTCACTCCTTCCTTCATTCTGTGCTCTACAAATTTATTAAGCTACTGGGTTCCCAGGAGGGAGGAATTGGCAGCGTCACATACCACTGAACAAGTGAGAACAGGAGTATCCTTGGCTTTAGTGACACGGAGGTCATCAGCAACTGGCAGGCACTCCTGCCAAAGGTTTGGAGACAGGAGGCAAGGAAGTAGGGGACAGGAAAGCTGGACCAAACACCTTTTTAAAAAGTTTTCCTGAGAACAGGATGGAGGCTGGCTGAAGGTGGGGTCAGGAAGGGCTTTAACCTTACTACGTGGTTCTGCACGGGAGAGCGGCCTGAGCACTGTGGGAAGAGGCGGACCCAGGGGGCAGAGTGCAGAGCAGTAGCAGCAGGAGCCATGTGGGTTGGACCTGGGGAAAGAAGGCTTAGAGACAGAAGAGGAGAGAGGAGAGGCTTATGGAGCAGCCCTGGAAGCTCAGGAGGGAGGTGGAGTGAGCCTATGGCCAGGCTTCCTGCCTGGTGCATCCCGCTCCTCCTTGGGTGGTCTGTGCCCTCAGAGGCTGCATCTCATGCCCATGTTTCCTTTGCCTCTGCCTCTCCCTAGGACCTTTGTTGGGCTTGAGGTCACTTCAGGGCATGCCGAGTGCCTGGACCTGGTTTCAGAGGTTGACAGAGTCATGGAGGAATTCGACCTCACCACTTTCTATCCGGTAATGAACAGGGTTGGAGATAATGAATGGAGATACTTATTGTCTCTTCAACGGGCTGCTGCTTCTCCACTGGCCCGTCTCTAACTGGAATAAAGCCATCCTTAAAGAAGCCTTCATCAGAGGCAAATTAAAGAGCCCTCCAGACTTTGCTGTGTGGAGTGTCCCAGATGCCAGCCCACAAAGGACACATGCCACTGGGAGGTGAGGGGTCTGAGGTGCAGCTAGATGTGGCCCATCCAAAGTCTAACGTTTTTTTAAAACTCCATATTTTAAATATGGTCCAGTATGTCTCCTACTGCATAATGTCTCCATGTTTGTTTTATGTTTCTTAAGAAGTATCTCCCACAATTTTTAGCAAAATAGACCCTCTGGGAAGAGTTGTAGCTTTGCATACTTTACTGTACCTGCCACGTGCTCTCCGGGGTACTGAAGAGTCCAGGTGGAATGTCAAGGCTTTAAAGGGCCCATTGATTTTATTTGATATATTTTTTTAAAACCATGCTGAAATATTTAACAATGAACTTGAATGGAAATAAGTATTATTTCTTTAAAAATTTAGACATTTTGAATTTTGTTCATTTCATCTGAAAAGTATGGCATCTGTTAGGATGTTCTAGATTGGAAAACAGAGTCAGATCCTGGTTTCTCTTCCGTATCCCCAGATTTAATGACTCTCTGTATGGTATTTATAGGAAAGCCTCTCAGAACGGATTGTCTTAGTTAGCTCAAGCTGCCATAATAAAGTACCATAAACTGGGTGTCTAAAACAACAGAAATTTATTTCCTCACTTTCTAGAGGCTAGTTATCCAAGATCCAGGTGCTGGCTGGGTTGGTTGTGGTAAGGACTCTGGCTTATAGACCAGTTCCTCCCACTGTGCCCTCCCCTCCTGGAGGAGAGAAGCGGGAGTGCACAAGATCCCCAGAATCTCCCCTGCCAAGGGCACTCACCCCATCACCAGAGTCCCTTCCTCGTGATCATATCTAGCCGTAATTACTCCCTTAGGCCCCTCTCCAAATGCCATCAAAATGGTGGGGTTAGGTCTTCAATATGTGAATTTGGGGAAGGGGATAAGACCAACTGAGGCTATTTTATCTTTCTGCTGTCCTTGGGATCAACGCTAAGGGTCAGATCTCTCACACAGGCCAGGGATCCAGCAAGAATATCCTGATAGCTCTGTCCCAGACCTGCTGTGGCATCCAGGTGATAGCCTGCATCCCTCTTTTCCTCTACAGGACCCTTCATTCCACATCAGTCTGGCCTGGTGTGTGGGTGATGCTCGTCCCCAGCTAGAAGGACAGTGCCTGCAGGAACTACAGGTAAATTCCCAGGGCAGGAGCAGAGAGTGCTGAACTCTGGAAGGACAAGGTGGATACTGGGGAGGGGAAGGACTAAGCATCCAAACCTGTATGCCTGGGAAGCCAGTGAAATGGCAAAAAACCAAAAAACAAAACCCTCAAACATTACCTTGCATCTCAAAGTGTGGTCCATGGACCAGCAGCACCAGCAGTACCTGGAAGCTTATTAGAAATACTATTGCTTTGATCCCACCCCTTGCCTAGGAAAGCAGAAATGCATTTTAATAAGATCCCTAGGGATGTGAGTTGCAGGAGGCTGTGAGAAGGCTGCTGGTTTTCCCTGCAAGGCTTGGGCTTGGCCTGTACTGGGAGTGAGTGGAGGGTGCCAGGTGTAAGGAACATCCAGCCCCCAGAACTTAGCACAGTTTGATAGTGGGTTAGATGTTTTACCCTCCCATTAGTGCCCTTGGGGGAGAACCAACAGTACATGGGCAGCAGTGACCAGCAGCTGATGCTCTGCCCCCGGTGGGGAGGCAGGCCATGCGGGAATGTGGCTTATGCTGCTTAGCTGGCAATTTTGTTTTTCAAGAGAAGCCAAAAATGCAGATTTTTATGTGTATCTCCCAGTTTTCAAATATTGGAAAATGATGTCGATTTTTAAAAACACTTTGTAAGGCAAACAGACTCTGTGCAACCCACAGACCATCATGGAGTAGCCTCCCTGCTCTGCCTCGGTCATGCTGGGAGAAACAGAGAGCACAGACTTCTGACTCTAGCAGACCTGGTTCCCAGTCCTGGTCCCCCTGGTTTCTGAAACCCAGAGCTTTGAGCTTTGTGTCCTCATCTATAAGTTGGGGTGGTAGATGGATGGCACAAAGTTGCAGAGATGATTAGACCAGACAGCTCCTGCAGAGCCGGGGGCTGCGCAGCTGCTTCCCCCTCAGCATTGTCTACTCTCTGAAAGAATTCACGAGGCTGCTTTTGTTTGCCATGTCCTCTGGGTCCGGGGTTTTCCTTAATGTGACCGTGCTGTCCCGCTGCTGGCTGAAGGAAATCTTGGATGAGTTTGAGGATTCTGAGATGCTGCTCCGCGTGCTCACTGAGCAGGTGCGCTGCAAGTCTGGGAACAAGTTCTTCTCCATGCCTTTGAAGTGAGCACAGAAGCCTTACTTGTCCAGGCCCCTCTGCAGGCCAGGCCATGAAGAGGAATAGTCCATGGAAACACTCCCAACCTCCCTCTAAGAGGCCCAGTCATGTCTTCGGACTGAGTGGTATTGCCATCCTGGATTGTCCTGGGGGCTGCTTCTCCTGGTCCTTTGGGGTTTCAGGTTGGATGCAGCTGTATTGTGGTCATTCCCAGGAGTCACCAGTAGAGGGCAGCCTGGGTTTCCTAATTCTTGCACTGTGGCTATGCAGAAAAGAAAAATGAGGGCTGCCAGGGGAGCCCACCCACACTCAGCCAGAATCCCCACCATAGTCCCCCTAATGAACAGCCCCCTCCCTGCCACTCCCCCTTCTGTGTTTAGTATTTTGATGCCCTTGGCCTCATACCAGGTTTTTTTAAATCATCATGCCCTGCCTTATCCCTGTCAAGCAAGGACATAGGGTTCTTCCGAGAGTCTGTCACCCTCCTTCCTTGAAGTATGTCACTTTTATTTATTTTCTGTTAATCCCAGCCCCTCCTGTGCCAACAGAGACCATTTCGGGGCCAAGGTACAGGGTGGTAATTTGTGGTTCAGCATCAGTTTTCTCCATTCTTTCCTCCCACTCACCCCCAGCCAGGTGCCTGGGGAGACTTGAGCAGATGTTTCATTTTGGCCTAGCCATGGCTGAAAGCCCGGCCTCCAGCACTCTGTGACCTCTGGCTTCCCCACCAACTTTCCCAACTTCCCTTGTCAGTGCCTGGGCATTCTGTAGGGAACCCGGAGGGAGGACCAGGGATGCACAGGACCTTTATTTTTTCCATCCCTCACCAAGGTGAAGGGCCAGCTCTCTCCAGTTATTATCTGGGTTTCTGGTAATAGATGAAGAAATGTTTTTGTTATAGTTTCAAATTATGTTCAACAAATAAAAATTGCATTTTTAAAAATTTTTCCGTCTTGTTTTGGACTGTAAGAAGGTGAGTGAGCGGTGACTCTCCTCTGTCCCTGCCTCCCCAGGTGTGCTTCATAATTTAGAGGGTCTCTTGTGAGTCTCTTATGACTTCTAAGGTGGGCTAAAGGAGTTTCAGTAAAATGAGGGTGGGGTCACCCAGCCTTGCCAGGCCCGCACACGGGAGGCTGCAGGAGCACATGTAGCCAGGGCTGGGCGTGTGGCAAGGGATCACCTTCCCCGTTCCTCAAGGGTCGAAGCACAGATGTTTAGACTTTACACTGCTATAACACTTATTGCGTCCTAGGACCTTCTCATGTACTCTTTCCCATAACCCCCTGAACAGAAACCAGGGTAGGAATGATTGTTGCTTTATGGAAGAACTTGTTAAGTGACTTGCCTGGGGGCATGAAAAATCAGTGGTAATGGCCTGACCCAGCCCTAATATCAACTCCTGTTCTGGCAGGGCCCAGGTGTAGCACTGCACACCACAGGCCTCCTGCTCAGCCCTGAGGGAAAGGTGCGGGGGGAGGGGCCCATTGCTCTGGCTGCCACTGTGCCCTGGCAAAACCGCCCTATCCTCACCCAGGAGGCCACGTGCGTACCTATTCCCCTGAAACCACCACACTGGTCTGACTCCTGCCTGACTGGTCAGTTGCTTCCCTCTTCTTGCATTTGAGGTCACACTGGTGAGAGAGAGGGGGCCAGTCATGTTTTCTGTCTTGCAAACAATGTGGCAACTCTGGCTGCACAACCCACATTACTGACACCTGCTCTGTGCTGGGCCTGAATTGGACACTGACATAAATCAGTCAAAGTCTGACSCCGGTGCTCAGAATGGGGAAAGCAGGCAAGGTGCGTGGAGAGGAATCCCTAGCCCCAACTTCATACTTCCCAAAACGACTGGCTGCTTCCCTGGGGAGGATGTAACTCCTGTAGTGTCCGGCAGAGGATGGAATTAGAGAGCAGCCACTTTGAGGAATGGGCCAAGATCAATAAGCAGCTCTTCAATGGAGAATGGATGGTGGCGATTGAGGAAGGAAGCAGAAGTTGCGCTGGGGGGAGGGGTGGGCAGGCCAGGCTGGGCGTGAGGAGGCCAGGCAGCAGGGGCTTGGCGGATACCCAGACATCAGATGTGCCTCCAGAGCAGAGCAAAGTGCTCTACTCCCGCTGACAGTGCAGAAGCAGCTGAGGCTCTTCCATAAGAGGAAATGTACTCCAGAAACCAGGGAGAGAACTCTTGAGAAAGAAGGAAAGATTGGAGCAGGCTGAGGTCCCAAGCTGCTGGCTTGCAAGGAAGAAATGCTCTTGATGAGGATTTTTTCACACCAGGGAGAGAACCGAATCAACACATCTGGCCCCAGCGTCCTCAGACGTTTCCCACAGGGCAGGGAAATGGTCATCTCATGGCCTGATTGGCGGGTTTCCACCTGGCACTCCCAGCCCTCTCCATCGCCTCTCCAGACCACCCCAGCTTTGTTTCCAAGGGAAAGAGCAATTACCTCGGCTTGCTTGTTTATTCCTTGTCTTGGCACCAGGAGTCCCAGGAACTGCCTTGCAACCCAACCGGACCTGTTTTGCCTGCCTCAATTGTGCCAAGCACTGAAATGGTGAATTTTGCAAAAGAGAAAGAGTTTATTCATCAGGCAGCCAAATGAGAAGAGGCAGGAGTCCCAAGTCTCAAATCTGCCTCCCCAGGACAGGGTTTAGGGATGCATGGGGTAAAGAGGCAGGGTGGTCTGAGGCGTGGGGAAGGGTGATCAGAGTAGGAAAAAGTGAAGTCATCTGAGTTCTGCTCAGGCATAGTCCAAGARTCCTATGACTCTTCAGAAAATGGCAGCATTAGCATGCTCTGCAGATGGTATTTTTAGCTCTCTGATGTCAAAAGGGCACCCGTCGRACACCTGACCGGACCCAAGTGAAGGGTTAGTGATTTTAGCTGATTTGAACTACCTCAAAATTGCTGAAAACCAACTTTACCACATGACTCATATATCAGAAGTGTTATCTACCTATCTCAAAGTGAATGTGAGTGTACTGCTGAGCTACAGGACAGCTAAAATGGGTGATAAATGCAAGAGGGTTTATTCAGGTTTTCCCTCAGTGGCAGCCTCTCCTTTGAGGTGGGCCTGGTGTGCTACCTTGAGGGGGAAAGGGTCCTGGGCCTGGGCAACTTTCTTTCACTGAACCAGACCTCTCCTACTAGCTGGGTCAGCTCTTACGATGAGGAGACAAATCCTCGGAGGGGAATAACATGTTCCAGATCATCCAGCAAATTCGGGCTGGGATAGGAACCTCATGACCTGGCTTTCAGTCCAGAGCTTTCTAGACAACCCGACACCACATCAGGGTCTCAAAATGAAACTATGCTATGAAACACAGTAAACAGGCTTTGATTCAAAAGACCAAGAAGAAGAAAAAAAGTTGGGGGTGGGGGGTCAGGACAGAGATGAAACAATGTTGGCAAGCTGTGGTGTTTAAAGCTGGCTGACCAAGGGCTGCTGTTCATGCTTCTCAGTTCCTTGTGTCCTCTTAAGATCTTAGGTTCTGGCTAGACAGGACAGAAACTTAGTCGCCTTGCCCACGGTGCCTGTAGGAGCCAGAACTAATCATTGGGAACCCCTGGTCACAGGGGAAGCCACTTTCAAGAGGGATCCCCATAAGAGAAAACAATCTCTGGACTTGTCCAGCTGCAGGCCTCTACAGATGCTGCTCACCTTCTGGGCTCCTTTCTTATTCAGTGGTCCCATAAACCCACTTTTATTAAAAAAGAAAAACTGGCTGAATGAGAATAAACACGGGGAAAGATTGCAATGCATTCATTTAAACAGGGGCAACCCTGATGTCCATTTCTGAAAACCACTGTACGTTTCCCCAAAGCAAATTTCAAAGTGGAGAATTTAGAAACCCATTTCCTATATGAGGGATCCCTACAGAGAAGTTAAAGAAAATCAATGAATTTGCCAAACTCTGAACYTCCTTCCTCGGAGGAAGCTCTGCCAGGTAACATCAGGTCGGTTCTAATAGGCCATTTCCAAGGCTCTCACCCTGCCTCCAATTTCAGGGAGGCAAGCTGGCTAAGGAGCCCCAAGGGCCCACTTTAGGGAAAACCGCCCTCAGGTAAGGGAAGCTCTTATTTCCTGGTCTGCAGAGAGGTGAGATCTCCGCCCCAATCACCTCTCCACCTCGCTGTCCTGCCTGGCCAGGGCCCTGTGTCAAGGCAGTCCTAGATCCCTATGCACAGTCTTCGGGGGACCTTCGATCCGGGGTCCCTAGCTCTGGCCTCCAGCACCGACACGGACTGATCTCAGACCACTCCTGGAATACATTTAAATCTAGCACATTAAGATCCGAGGGAAGGTTGCCCCCCACCCCGGGGTCCAGAGCCTCAGTGGGCATTTCACTTGCACATAATGGTGGCCAAGAAGTGCCTGGCTTCAGTTTGGAAATTAATTTGTGCTGAGCAGGAGCCAGAACCCTCACCCAATCTTCACCCCAACTCCTTGCCCCACATTCTAGGTGAAAACATGAAGGCCCAGAAAGACGAAATAATTTGTCCACATCCAAGCAGCGGGCGAATGGGGGACACGGGACTCCTAGCCCTGTGCCACCCCGCCCGCCGGAGGCGCCCAACTCCCCCCTCACTTTGTGATTGAGGAAAGTTACTAAAGGTCCCAAAAGACGCTTTGAAAAGGGGCCTTGGCCAACAAACTTCCAGAGTTTTGTTTTGTTTCAGTTTTTTGTGCATTCGTTTGTTTTAGTCAAAACACGACACTTGGGTCCCTTCCTAGCCCTCCTTCCCGTCCACCTCTGCCTCAGTATTCCCCATTCTCAACCACCCAGGGCGAGGAGAGGAGGAATCTTCATTCCTCCTTTCAGGGAAACCACGCCTTCCTTGCGCCCTCTAAAAGGATCCAACTGGGGTCACCCCCACGTTCAGAACCTGGGATGGAGTGACGCAGGGCGGGCTTAGGGGTGTTCGTCGCCATCTGGGAAGAATAGYCCCACCTGCCGGGGCTTGACTACCGGCACCTGCTACTCGGAAGCSTCTGGTTAGGGTATTGGCCCCAGCCCCCCCGCCAGGGACCGCACGCAGGGAGCGTACTGGCCCTTTAAGAGCGGCGGCGGCCGAAGCGCGCGGGGAGGAGGGTTGGAAGCGCCGGGAGCCGCGCGGAACTCGCCGGGTACGTCGGGCGCCAGTTCCCTGCGCTCCTCCCGGGACTGCCTGGGGACCCGGGCCCTGTTGGGCGCAGCGGTGAGCAGAGCCGCGGGCAGGAGGCGCGCGCTCTGGGCAGCGCCGGGCCTTGGGCATGGACAGAGGGAGCTCAGAGCGCAGGGGGCGCGGCGGGTCCGGGCGGCCGGAGCGCTGAGCCAGACAAAGGCTCAGGAGTTGCGCTTGCTCTCGGGAGCCGGGCGCTGGGCGCCGACGCTGCGGGACCCTGCGGCCCGCGGCTCCGGCCCGGCCCCCTCCCGCGGGCCGGCTCCGCGCGCCGGGACCTGCCCCTGCCCGCTTCTCCTCGCGCTTGGGAATTTGCCGAGGGGACCTGAGCGGCTCCAGCAAGGACCTAGAGCCAGAGGTCCGCCGCGCGCCCGCCGGGCCGGAGCCAGGGAGCGTCGCAAGTTTTCTAGCCGCGCACGGGGACCCGGCACCCGCGAGCAAAGGAGCCCGGCGTGCAGCGCTCCAGACCAGACTAGGCGCCGAGAGCATGGGCAGCGACSGGAGCGCGTCCGGACGGCCGAGCGGCGCGGGCAGCCTCCTCGGCGGTCGGGAGGCAGCTGCACGGCCCCGGCTGCTGCTGCTGCTACTGGTGCTTCTGRGCTGCCTGGGCCGCGGCGCAGCCGCCGAGGACGCAGAAATCCACGCAGAGGTAAGGACCCCCTCCCTGCTCCATTGCTGGAGGATGGGGAGGGGAGCCACGCCCGCAGCCGGGGACCCGGAGGTGGGGGAGCGGAGACGTCAACCCGGCTGGGGATTGACGGGGAGAAGGGTCCGGGAAGAAAGAGGAGCTGCCGGGCCGCTCCTCCCGAGCTCGCCCTCATCCCAAACCCTGGAGGACATAGAGCTTGTGCCTTCCCAGGGCACTGCTCCGCTCTAGCCTGTGTCCCGGAGCCGCTTCCGCCGCCCCCATCCTTTTCCTTCCCTCCCCGGCTGCCGATTCCTCGAGAGCCGGACTGGCGCGCCCTTTACAAGTGGGGAGGGGGCTGCTGGGGGTGTCTGGGGCGGAGCCGGAGCTGGACAGAGCTCCTGCTTAGGTAGCCTCGGGTCTGGCAGACACCTTGCGTTGCCCAGCTGGCCAGGATGGGGAGGGGGAGGGGTGCGAACCGCGGGCAGCAGACTCAGGTTGCAGAGGCGCTTTGGCGACTTTCTAGCGCTCTTGCGCTGAAGCCTCTCCGCACCCGGGTGGAGTCCCAGGCAGAGACCTTGTCTTCCACAGCCCTTCTTCCCACCCGCACCCTTACGCCGAGGCTTGATAGGAAAGGGTAGACTCCGCGCCTCTTTTTTTCTGGAAGCCCGACTGACGTCCCCACGCGGGCCACTCTCTGGATTGGTCCCGCGGGTAACCAGGCGCGGCCTCCCGGCGCAGAGCCGGGTCCAGTCAGCAACTCCARCTCCAAGGGGTCCCCCAACAACAGCTCCGTCGTCTTAGAACAAAAAGGGTCGATTCTTTCCTGACTTCTAAGATCCTGGACAGGTGATGAGAGGAGTGGGGAGAGGACTGCCCTGGAACCGTCGCCAGACACGGTAGGCTCGGGCCTCAGTGCTCTTGGGCTGCCCGGGCTGCCGGCCCAGAGAACGTCTGTGCGCTGTTTCTATTTGCAGCGGGACCGGTGCTCCCCCCCAGCCTTCGGCGGCTTCCCCACCTCCCCAGCCTGCTTGGGAGATTTTTCCGATGGAAGCCTGTCCCTTCCCCGCCCTACTTTAATAAAAGCTTGGAGGAAGGGCAGGGAATTCCTCCCAGGCTCGAGTTACACCTCCCAACCAGTTCCCCACCTGCTCTGCCCTCCCTCCTGGCCAGGCCAGGGGATGCTTCAGGGAGCCAAGCCCTGGCCTAGTCCTACTTTCCACAAACCAATTCTCACAGGCAAAAACTTATAGGGCTTCTTGCTAGTGGGGATTGCCAGTGAYCTGGGTACTGTGTTGTGGGGAGGGGGTGTCACCTGCCACAAGGAATTTCAAATCAGATTCACCCTTAAGGACTTTATAATACACATAGGGATGGCATCCTCATACAGGATGATTAGAGACCAAGCTAGAATTTGGAGGCTGTGCACTATGRATGAGCATCCTGGAAGGCCAGGAGCGGAGATGCTGAGACCTGTGGTTTCCGAGGCTTCACACTCTTTCCTTTGCTTCTGTGAGTCYATCACCCCCACTTCCCACAGTTCCATATATCCACAGCTCAGTCTCTCCAGGGAAGAGACCCCTGGTATTACTGAAGCCACAGGCCATGGCCTAGAACCTGTGGTGTCACTGGCTAGGAATTCTGATTGGCCCTACTCCTGGGCTGTGTCTGGAAGGGACCCTAGAAGGTTTAGGAAGACTTGAATGTTGGAAGCCAGTGAATAGAAGGCTAGAGAGATGAAGGGAATAGAGTTGATGCTCAGGGGTAGAGCACTTGGCTGGGCCCTGAGTTTGATCCCCAGCAACAACAATAACAAAATGGATAGTCCTAGTTCCTAGAACTGGCTTTGGGGTGTAAGCTGGTATCCAGACCCAAAGAGGMAGTGGCCTTAGCAGCCAGCATGTCTATTCAGACTCCTGGGCCTGGCTTACACCCTGGCCAGAGCCTCCCTACCTTGAAGAAGGGCTCTGGTTCTTGCCCCAGAATGTCCACAGCTCCAGACCCTAGGACCATCTCCAAGCACGGTGGCACTGAGCCGAAGCCAACCCCTCCCCTCCCTTTCAGCCAACCAGGATGGAAGCCTCAAAAGTTTCCCCCAGTTGACTCAGGGAGTCTGGCCTGTGCGAGGAGCCAGCAGACACCTGCAGCCAGCCTGGGCCCACCCAGAAAGGCTGTCTTGGAGAAGCCAGCACTGCAGCTCTCCTATCCAACTCCCTCCCTTGGACATCAGGGCCCAGCCTCCAGCCATTGTGCACTGAAGCCCCACCTGGCTGAGGTGCTAGCTGTAGCTTTGGGCCAAGTGCACAGAGACTCCAGGCCCTTGTCAGGTCTCTATGCTGCTCTTCGTGGCTGCAGTTACCTGCCTTTGGTTGTCGCCAGAGAAGCTCCCACCTGGACCCACCCTCAGCCTGTCCCACCCTGCAGGCACAACTTCAGGTGACTCAGCTGCCAGAGTTCACAGGTATGATGCCACCACATAAACATGGACACACCCATCTTCCCTGAACAGACYCAGGAGTGTTTTCCTGCCCCTTCCTGGCCACCAAGCAGGATGAGCAAAGGGATGGAGTCAACTCCAGTTCTCATTTGGACCTGCAGCCTGGGTTTCCACCTCTACTCACATTTCATTGCCTCCCACCCCCCAGTCTCTTTATATCCATATTCTTTAAATGAAGCAGAAACCATAGAGACCCTCTGTCTACTCTCAGGGAAAAGGGGTCCGTGTCAGGCCGTGTCTCTGGGAATCCACAGTAGCTGCTGGCACCTGGCCCTCTCCATGTGCTCTTTCCAGTCCCAGAGAACCCTGGTCTGATTGATGTGATGGATGGGACTCTGATTGATGTGATGGATGGGACTCTGATTGATGTGATGGATGGGACTCTGATTGGGGCTGTGCCTTTCAAACCAGTCCTTGCCACGTCCCTGTGCTTGGCTGCCCTTGGGCGTAGCCCATCAGCTGCCTCCTTGCAGAGAACAGCTAGTGTGTCCCCTCCTCCAAGCAACAAATGTGTTTGACCTGTCCACTCCTGGACACCAACATCACAAAGGGTTGCGGACTCTTTCAAGACATCCCTGGATGTGGACGGGAAATATACCTAGTCCCCCTCCAAGATGATTTCCGCTAGAAGCCCAGCACCCACTGCCCCCATCATTGATGCCAGCTCAGAATGGCAATGCCACAGGCCTAGAAGAATTGCTCCCTGTCCACCACTTGATTCTGGCTGTCCCTCCACACCCCCGTTGTTGCTTGATCTAGCAGTTTCCTGCCATTGTCACYTCTGCCCAGTTTGGCTTCTGAGTCTAGCTATRGTGGTCGCTGTGGGATGTCCCTGCTTCCTGGGTCAGATCAAAGTTGGCACCTTCTGTATCATCCTGACGCATGTGGCTCACACTCTAGGGCACTCAGGCAGGAGCAAAGCCCCATGACCAGTTTTGCTTTGGGCATGGAGATGCATTCCCTGAGTCAGCAAAAACAGGGAGAGTTTGGGGACGCTCCTCCTGGATCCTTCTTCATTAAAAAGGGTCCTTGGAGAAGCCACAGATAAACATGAGGACCTGGGATCCTGAAGGTAGCTGAACACTCCAGGCCTGTGACAGACAGAGGTGCCTTGTGGCTGAATAAGCCCCTCTGAGGGCTTGAGAATTAGGGCTCCAGAAGGGGTCCCCAGAAGGATAAAACGTGCCTGGAGACCAGGAGCCATGGGGCTGGGCCCTTTTGGAGAGGTGGCAGACCTAGGCATGAATGGCAGAGGTGTGTGAGCAGGGCTTGGATCAGAGAAACAAAGAGGGAAAATCCTACCAAAACCCATTCCCATGGAGAAAATGAGCAGGAAGACCCAACCCAACCTCTGACATCAGGATAGATGGATGAGGACCTGGCCTTGGCCAGCCCCGAGAGAAGCTCCACGTCCTCCTGCCATATGATGGCCAAGCCCTGGAGCTGTGAAACCTGGAGGCCAGGTCTGGTTTAGCTCTCCAGGCCCAACCTGCAGGTCTGGGTACCACCTTGTTCTTTTCCCCAGGAGTGACAGCCATCCTGGAGGGGTGAAGGTTCCCCAGCTCCGAGCTCAGTGCTTATAAGCATAGTACCTGGTACATAGGAAGTGCTTGAAAAATAGTAGCAAACCTCGTGACTGTGAGAAGCAAGTGGCATTTACAGTTGGGCAACTCCATTGAACCTGTCTTGAGCCTCAGTTACCATCTATAAAATGAGAATAGCAAYAGTACCTACTTGAAGGAGTTGCTGGAGAGCCTTATTGCATTTATGTGCAAACACCGAATGCTGTGTGCAGTGGCCACATGTGAGGCTCAGAGAGGCTAAGGTGTTATTTTTATTGATTGATTGATTGATTGATTGATTGATTGATGGATGCTGGGGAGTGAATCCAGGAGCACGGAGTCCCATCCCCAGCCCTTTTTAATATTTTATTTAGAGACAGGGTCTGGCTGAGTTGCTTAGCACCTTGCTTTTGCTCAGGCTGGCTTTGAACTCGAAATCCTCCTGCCTCAGCCTCCCAAACCCCTGGGATTAAAGGTGCGTGACACGGCGCCGGGCTTCAGGTTTTATTTCTGAGCACCTTCAACATACTGTATCCTGGGCATGGCTAGGAATGCTCTGTAAGCATTTGTACATTTCACTGTCTTTTCAACTCTTAGTTGGGTGCTCCATTTCCCCACTGTGTGAGGGAGAGTATCCCAAATTCTACACCCAGAGACTGAGAAGCTGAGATTTGAACTCAGATCAGTATGGCTTGAAACCCCAGCCTCAGCTGGGTKAAAAGCTGCAGATCAGCCTGCAGGGTGCCATCCTGGGGAACTTCCGCCTGGCAGGAGCCTGCTGGGCCTGAGCCAGGTGGGAAGGAGGTTTCAGGGGTGGGGCCAGAACTGCCCCAGCAGTGTGAGCCTGGAGTCCCCACCCATCAGCCTTCTGCCCCTGCCCTGYGCAGCCCCATCTAGTAACCGCCTGCAGGGGGAGTTCCAGGTGAGGCCCCAAGGCCTGGCCCCCAGCCCACCCTGAAACTCCT